AGGCAGCCGCTTAACGACTGAGCCACCCAGGCGCCCCTCCGTCCCTCGGGCCTGGCACGGGGTGGGCACCACGGGACTCTCCCAGAGCCGGCACAAGCTGCGCTCACACTCTGCCTGGCATCCATCGCTGCTGGGCCTGCAGTGCTCTGGGAGACATGGAGTTACTGCTCTCTCACTGGGCCCAGGCCATCTTCCCTGAGGAGACAGGCCTGGCTGAGCGGTAATGCTGGATGTCGGCCCCTTAGCTTCCCACCAGAAGGCCACGCGAGGCTCCGGGTGGAGAGGGAACCCTCTGGACAGACAAGCGTTCACACCCTGCTTGGGTAAGTCCCTTTCCCGGAACTTCGATTTTTAACTCTGGAAAATGGAAGAACATGTTTTCGGTGACAGCTGAGTGAGCTCAGGAGTGTTAAGCAGTTGGACGCAGCAGACATCATAAATGTTTATTACACTGAGATACAGACTTAGGCAGGACCTGCTTCCAGGGGATGGGCTGAGATCTGGGCTCAGAGCCGGTGGTCCCTGAGGAGGTTCTGGGACGGCTTCCCGGAGGAGGCGCCATCAGAGCTGGGTCTCAGAGGCTGAGGCACTCGCCAAAGCTACCCCAAGAGGGGGTAAAAGCAGGAGCTAAAGCCGGGAGGAAGGAGGAGAGGCGAGGGCAGGTGGGACCGCCACCTCGATGTGTCCCTCTGCCTGTCTGCCAGGGCCCTCAGAAGTACACAGAGCCCTCGAAGTCTCCTTGCTCATCGAACTTCTGGATCTGCATCTTGAGGTGCCTCAATTTGCCCTTCAGGTAGTGGCAGCGAGCCTGCTTGTCCAGGAAGCTGGGGTCCTGGGCAGGGCAAGACCCAGGAAAGTCCTTGTGGTACTTTGGCCTTTGGCCCTCAGCGGCTCAACCCTTTGCCTCTTTCTCTCTGGGCCTCAGTTTTCTTTCCGTGAAACTGGGCACACTGAGCCTCATGGGAGGGTCAGGCGTGCAAAGGCCAGCCTGTGGGACTCAGGGGACACGACTCACCGTCTGCTTCTTCTCAAATTCCCTCCAGACACGGGCGGCAACTTGGGCTTCCTTCTGCAAGTGGAGAAGGGGGTGGGGGGCTCAGAGAATGCTGAACCCAAGGAGGCATGGGGAAACTGAGGCTCAGATAGACAAAGTGACCTATCTAGTGAGGACTTCAAGGGCTGACCTTGACCCCTATACTGTGGTGCCCACCCAGCCTAGAGGAGGAAGGCGCCCAGAGACCTGGACCCAGAGGGGGTCCCAGAGGCCAGGGTCCACCACCTGGAAGGGCTGTGGGGCAGGGGTTTCTGCCGGGGCTGACCTGGCTTCGCGGCCTGGGCAGTGAGTTCAGCAAGGTCTCCAGCTGCTGGAGCTTTGCCAGTGCAGAGCCCACCTCCTGCTGGAGCTCCACGAACTCTGTGTACTGGTCCTGGAACACTGCAGCATAGCGGCTCCGTTCCCTCTCACTGCTCACTTGTGGGTACTTACTGCGGGTTTAAAGTGGAGCAGAGTGTGAATGGAAAGAACTCGTCCCTTTCCCCCAATCAGTTTAATTTGTTCTTCTTTGCCCATGTGGGACTCCCTGCCCCAAACTCCTTTTCTCGTTTTATTATTTAGTAAACTCCTATTCATTTGTCAAAGCCCCGTCCTCAGTGCCCCTTCCCTGTTCCCAGGCATCAGGAACAACGTGGGGGACACTCACAGCTCATAGTCGGGCACTGGGTGGGCCCTTGGCATATGCCCCCTGGGGATGGCTTCAATAGGCTTCCTGGTGCTCAAGAGGGCCCGGGAGGGCAGCTCATCCTCAAATACAATCTTCTTGGGCCTTGCGCTGTGCGCTCCTGGTTGACCCTCGCGCAGAGCGCGGGGGGCGCTGGTTTCCGGGCCTGGAGGCACCAACCGCTGCGGGTGCCGCAGGAATTATGGTTTGGAGTTAACCAGGGTATGGGGAAGGCAGGATCCCTCAAACTGGGGGGAATGATCTTTTGCCTAGGCTCGGCCTGGGGACCCTCCACCCGTTCGGACTCACCGGGGGCCCAGGGCCAGGCGGGCGGGTCTGCAGGTCCCCCCGGTAGCCGCGGGTCTTTGAGGACTCCCGGGTGGGCATCGGCCTCAGGGAGGCGCCGCTCGGGCATCCCCGGGGCGGCGGGCGGGTCCTGCGGGGGGCGCCGTGGCCCCCGCGGGGCGGGGGGGGTCGGCGGGCCGCCTGTGGGCACCAGAGAAAGGCGCGCCTGGAGGCGGGGAAGCCTGGAGGGCCCACCGGGAGGCGGAGCCCGGAGCGGCCAACTCTCCGCCGACTGGCGACAGCGCTAGCTCCGCCGCTATTTGCATAGACGCACTCGATTGGCTCTCAGAGCAGCCCGCCCCTGGCTGCGTAACCCGGAAAGGCGCGACGCCCGTGACGCCACCGCGTATCCTGGGTGGGCCCGCCTCCAGTTAACCCCCGCCCTGCTGCAGCCTCGCCTGCACTGCTGGAGCGCGTGAAGCCCACGGACACCGCCCCCGAGAAGTCCCCCGGAACCTCCGCCCCAGCTGCGGGCCGCACGGACCGCTCCGGTCCGGGGTTACCTGTCCCAGCGTCCGGCTCTCCGAGCCTGGGTCCGCTCCCGGAGAGGCGCCTGAGTCAGTGTTGTGCATTAACTTCAAAGGCTGGATCCAACGGGCGGGGTCGCTCCACAGGGCGGGGCGGGGCCTAGAGAGATTGGGCGGGGTTGGCGGTGAGGGGGCGGGACCCAGCGTTAAGGGAAGCGGGTCCACTTTTTTTTTCTTTTTTTAAAGATTTTATTTAGGGGCGCCTGGGTGGCTCAGTCGGTTAAGCGACTGCCTTCGGCTCAGGTCATGATCCTGGAGTCCCGGGATCGAGTCCCGCATCGGGCT